TGGACAATGTACAGAACTCATGCGGATGTAAAAAGTTAATGACAAAATAATAATAATAATTTGGACAGGCGCCACCATTTTGTAGTTTTCTTTCATTCAGCCTCCAACTGTACTGTAATCGCCACTCAGATGGACTACATTTCCCTCAAATCAATGTTGTGCCTCTGGGCGCTGTTTTCTGCTGAAGAGTATTTTTGCAAATTCTGCTGAACTGGCCTTTCAAATGCAAAATTTAATTCATATCACATGGAAAAGTATTTTTAACATAATTCAACTTTACAAACGTCAGATTAGTAAAAAAGCGTAAATCATGTCAGGGCATGTCTCTTTAAGAAAGCAGAGCATTGACCTGATGACCCGGGTGCTGATTGGATCAGTACGTTAACCACCTGCTCTGTTTTCCTGGACGCTGATTGTCTGTCACAGTAGCAGACGGTCGCTGTCTCTCTAGCAGGCAGTTTGTTTACCTCCGCTCTTTATCAACTGGACAACTCCTAAACGTTCTGTGTGTTCAAGTTTCTGGCGGTGAACCGAAACACCAGTGGAAGATGCTGACGATTAAAGAAAAAGTGGAACTTCTGGACAAACTTGCCTACGTGGACATTTGTTGCCTTTTACGGCACGGTTAAGATGGACGCTGCATTGGTCATGTGGATTAATGATTGCAGAAAAAAAAAATCCCCATCACTTTGGATACCAAGACCAAAGGTGAAAAAAGTCCCAAAACCACGTGATAAACGAGGGACTACCGTATAGCGTTCCTACTTCACAGTTTTTCACCTATCGCAGTGGTGTGTGGAACGTTACCCCTGTGATAGTTGAGGGATACTGTAAATCAAAACTAATACTGACTGTGCATAATGCAGTAAAATATTTAACTGAGATAAATGGATAAGAGAAACTCAACACTGATGTTTTTTTCAATTGCATTCACTCGTGGACTCATTTCCTCAGGGCAGAGACGACGTCCTTCATAGCTTCCGCTTCCTTCTGCAGCGCTGCTCGTTTCCTGTGCAGCTCTGAAACCACAAGTTTTCACATCTCAGGATAAAAACGTGAAGACAAACTAATAAAGTATTCAGTGCTCAAAAACTAAAAAAAGTGAGATTCAATTTACAAATCAGATTTAGTTTAAGATCAAACTGACTCTTCCCAACGGCAGGAAGGCCATACACTAACACATTCAGAGCAGGTTTGTGGATTCCTACTGTGGATTATTACACATTAAAATGTGAGTACACTGTAGTTTAATTACAGTGAAATGCATCCAAAAATGTGAATTATGGTGTTAGACAACCAGTATACTGTATAAATCCAACATACAAGACGACAGTAGAGGTGTTAATATGCAAATTAATAGTTTGGAAGCATAAAAGTATAAACTTATTTAGGTCGGATCTAGTTCCATATGAAGAGGTGCTGAGAGTCTTTAGCCTCCCCCCCCCTCATCATCGAGCTGGTTGACTGTGTGAATGTTTATGAAGCATTCACACTATTGTGATCCGTTTTTCTTCCGTATGTTTCACTGCATCTTTCTCGTTTCAAAATTTTTGTGCCATTTCAACAAATCATAAATCAAAACGTTCAGCTCTTTCAGGAGAAGGCTGCTGTAACTTTTGGTATTGGTGCAACTTTAGCTTTTTGAAATATTTGGCTTTTTCTGACACTTTTTCTCCTCATAGAAAATGAATTGAGCTCATTTTACCTCCTTCAAATCTTTAGATGTGTTTACAACCTTTTACTGCTCCTTTCACATTTTGTTCTGCTTCAGCTTCTTTCAGCTTACTTGTGCAAATAAAAAAATCAGCTGTTTTGTACTCCTTTCTGCTTTATTCGGCTCACATTTTTGTGCTTATTCTAACTTCTCTCTGCTTATTTCTGAAAGTTTCAACTATATCTGCTATTTTAGCTACCATTTAGCTGTTTTATACTAATTTGAGCTTTTTCCGCCAATTCCACATTTTTTTGCGCTCATTTAAACTTTTTTCAGCCTAATTCAGCAAAAATGTACTCCAAGCTTATTTCTGCTTTTTTAGCTACTATTCAGCATTTTTTTATTAACATATTTCTGCTTTTTTTCAGATAATTTCTATGTTCTTGTGCGAATTTCTGCCTCATTAGGCCTAATTGGATATAATTGTGCTCTTTCAACTTCCTTTTGGTAGTTTAAGCTTCTTTCTGCCTTTACAGCTATGTTTCAGCTATTTTTGCTAATTTAAGCTTTTTGTAAGCCAATTATTTTTGTGCTCATTTCTGCTTATTTAAACCAAATTCAATAAATGTGTTCTTTCTGCTTTATTCTGCTAACTTAGGCTTATTCTTCCATTTCAGCTACATTTCAGCATGATTTTAACTAATTTCAGCTGTTTTTCAGCAATAAGCACTGCATTTTCACAGGAAATGCAATTTCTCTACTTTTATTTTCCTGCAAAGAATAAAGTCACGAGTTCCACCATTCTGCCTTTAAACGTCTCCTACCCTCTGAGTACTCTCTTATCGCACAGCAGAGTTTATCAAAAACAAATTAATGTTTTTTGATGTTTCAATCTCACCAGACTACATTAAAAAACTTCTACTTTTAACAACAGCAGGTTGCAAATAGGAGTTATGCACACAGAAGTTGAAATCCTTGCAGTGTTTAGAAACCAAACTGCAAATACTGTTAATGCATCTAGTTGAAAACATCAACTGTAAAATTTACTGAGAAATAAATGACAGAGCTTTAGGGCCACGCTAAGAAAAAAAATTACTGTAAAAGCCATAAAATTATGAGAATAAAGTTGAATAAAGTCTTAATATTATGAGAATAAAGTCGTACGAGACATTTTTTTTGCAGCTCTCATTCATTTATTAATTTTTTTCCATGAGTCGGCTCCACAGCGTGACCTGTCAATCAATCCAGTAGGCGTGTCAGCAAATGACCAATCAGAGGCTAAATGCTCCTTACCTGCAGAGAGCTGCTGCAGCCCATCAGAACATACCACCGTACTGTAAGCAGGTTCAAAGTCCTGATACTGATAATAATCTGATGCTGATGTGCTAACAGATTAACTATCTCCTTACTTATAAAACCAACAGCAAAGTATAACTTAACAAGATGCTCAACATTCATCATTTTACCACAGTTAAAATGCATTAAACCTGCTTTATCGTGTCGGAGTTCAGACCCAAGCCCTGTAGGATTTTTAACCCTTCCACCGCCACACTCTTCTCTTCCATCTTTGCTAGTAATTCTGTTTCAGACTCTGAACTCTCTGTGGGTCTTACTACAAAGGAGTTGCTTTCTCAGCATCAGGAGGCGTGTGTACAGATCCTGGACTCAGTCGCCCCGTTAAAGCTCAGGAATCGAAAATGCACGCCCCACCCTTGGGTAAATGAGACTACACGAGAGGCAAGACGCTTGTGCAGAAGAGCTGAACGTTGATGGAAAAAAGATAAACTTCAGGTGTCTTTTGAGATGTTAAAAACATGTTGGAAAGCCTATCAGACCACCGTTAAACAGGAGAAAAACTAATATTTCTCAAAAATTATCAACTTAAACAGTCACAACCCCCACATTCTTTTCAACACCATTAACACCATTCTAAACGTGCCTCAGTCTGCCACCATTGAGGCCTCTGTCGACACCTGTAATAAGTTTGTCAGGCATTTTGTTGAAAAGGTTGTCGATTAGGTCATCAATTCCACGCTCCACAGCCGACCCTTCAGTTCTTGTCCCCTGCTCAGCAGTCTTCAGTCACTTTGACCCCATCTCGCTCTCATTTTTAAATGAGGTCGTTGGTCACATGAAACCCTCAGGCTCCCCTGCTGATCCCATCCCTGCTGCATTTTTTAAACGGGTTCTACCGTTAACTGGACCCTCTGTTCTTGCCATTATTAACAGCAGTTTGGCTACAGGTGTGGTTCCTGATGTTTTAAAACATGCAGTGGTAACTCCATTAATTAAAAAACCCGGACTTGACCCTGCAGCTTGTTCAAACTTCAGGCCAATCTCAAAACTTCCATTTCTTTCTAAAATCTTAGGAGAAAAAAGTTTTTATTCAACTAACCAAGTTCTTGAATTGGAAATGGAATTTTTGAGATTTTTCAGTCAGGATTTAAACAACTGCACAGCACCGAGACGGCTTTAGTAAGGGTCTGTAATGACATTCTGCTAGCAAATGACTCTGGTCAGTCTGTGATCCTGGTACTCCTCGACCTTACCGCTGCATTTGACACTGCTGATCACAGCATCCTTTTGTCTCGGCTAGAACACTGGGTTGGGATTACAGGGGTGGCGCTAGCTAGAATGGTTCCGTTCGTATCTGGGTGACAGGAGTTTCTTGTCAGGTTTTTTCGTGGCAGATCAGGACAGAAGAACCCAGTTGCGCAGGCAGGACTCAGGAGGCAGATGTATAAGATAAAAATACTTTTAATAATAATAATAATAAATCAAAAAGGCTGACATGGCAGCAAAACTTACATGGACTCAAGAACACGATCACTCAGGCAGGACAAGACAGGACATACCCAACGACGAACCGACAATGACAGAACTGACAGACAGACTTTATATACACACAACCAGGACATGACACAGGTGACGATAATCAGACAATCAATTCAGACACAAGGGAGAACAGACAGGGGGAAGGCCCACTAGATGGTGCCATCCTTACAGTACCCCCCCTCAAGGACGCCCCCTGGCGTCCCCAAGAAGCCCCCTCCCAAAAGACTAGGGCGGGCGGAGGGAGGAACTGCAAGGGTGGTGGGCCCGAACAAAGACACACAAGGACCAAAACAAAAACAGGACAAGGCCCAGGAACTAAACTAAGTAGGGAAACATAAAATGTCTAGATGGCCGGAGACCAGCCACTGGCTCAGAGCAGGTCAGGTGGGCGACCGGGAGGCCGTCCAGCACGGGACCATCGTTCAGGTGGGCGACCGGGAGGCCGTCCAGCACGGGACCATCGTTCAGGGGGGCGGCCGGGAGGCCGTCCAGCACGGAACCATCGTTCAGGGGGGCGGCCGGGAGGCCGTCCAGCACGGGACCATCGTTCAGGGGGGCGGCCGGGAGGCCGTCCAACACGTAGGACCTTGGAGGCCGCAGCTGGCGGCGTAGAAACCTTGGAGGCCGCAGCTGGCGGCGTAGAAACCTTGGAGGCCGCGTCAGGCGGCGTAGAAACCTTGGAGGCGGCGTCAGGCGGAATAGAAACCTTGGAGGCCGCGGCTGGCAGCGTAGAAACCTTGGAGGCCACGGCTGGCGGCGTAGAAACCTTGGAGGCCGCGTCAGGCGGCGTAGAAACCTTGGAGGCCGCGTCCGGCGGCGTAGGCGACGAGGAGGCCGCGTCCGGCGGCGTAGGCGACGAGGAGGCCGCGTACGGCGGCGTAGGCGACGAGGAGGCCGCGTCCGGCGGCGTAGGCGACG